CCGTGAGTTGAACAATATGGCCCAAATCCTCCATGTCCTCCATTTTAAACACCGCTCAACACCGCTGGTCGCAGCTGTTTCATATTTTCGCGCAAGCAATCGGCTCGAACATTCTGACTTCCGTTCAAGAATTCTTTGTTTTCAAACAGCCAATCAAAAAAAATTCGAGTTAATTCGAAAATCCTATTTCTCCAGAGCCCTTCGATTCTCGTGCCAAGGCCCTGCCGGCTAAGAGGAGCGAAAAGGGCTATGGGGACGAGAATGGCAGCGGGTGGTGCTTCGTCGAATTTTCGCTCTCGCTCCAATTTACGCGCAGTCAGAATGCTGAAAGGCTCTTTGTGCGGGAACGCTTGCTACGCAGGCTACATTGCACAGTTCCCTTTGACAATCAGTACTCACAAGAGAATATGATAATGATCATAATCTCTTGCAGGAGCCCATCACCTGTCTCTTGGTACTCAAGTAACCTACCAGCCCAGTCATTATCGGTATAGCCTCCAAATATGTAGTTTCCACTCTTGATCACCGTCACAGTCGGTCCCTTGTTGTCACAATACGCGTGAAAGTTGCCCCAGCCATCACGCGAGGCACAATATAACAATTTCTCGCTGGCGATTGTGATGGGCCCGGTCTCCTTCAACCAGTTCACCAATGTTTGGCGTTGTTCTAATGACAAGATCGCAGAATATTTAAAGAAACTTGCTCTCAGCGCATTAACTATTCCCTCAATTTGATAAAATTCGGCCTCTGCCAATAACTCCACACGAATTATCTCGTCTTTAGGCACAAGAAGCTGCCCTGTGCGAAGATAATTCAAGATATACCGGAAGTGAGTTCCGTCGCGATCAATGAAGTAAGATCCATCCCCGCTTGGTTTTGTGTCAAATCTCCCTGAAAACATGGCGTGTAACATCGAAGCTGGGATAAACATGATTAAAGGAAAGCGTATAAGAGCCTGGTAATGCAAGGAAACATTGTTACATGCGGAAACAGAACTCAATGTTAAAGAGCTGCAAATGTTTCTTGTTAATTAAGCCACCTGGCAAACATAATTTTCTGAATCAGATGTTGTTGTGAGAAGGAACGGATCTCTGCGGACCTGTGAAGCATTTCAAAAACACACAAATATTTGCATCCGAATTATGCTTAATTCCCTTTCGAAGCAGCGATATTTCCCTGAATGTTTAGCAAGGATCTATGATGTAAAAAGTAAAACTTAAATTCGATCGTTGATTGCGTTAGCTTTCGATAGTATACAATTCATGATTCTTCCTTGTCGTTAAATTAAACGTAATTATTTATTCCAAATCACCTGGATCTTTAGTCAGGGTTGCCAGACTGGTCGAGAATAGGTGGCCGCCGACATTGAGTTTCACCATTTTCGGGAAATGATTCTTTTCTGCCTCATCATGAGCTTCATGCTCCTTGCGAACTCTTTTCGCCTCGCGGTTTGAAATGTCGACGTCCTTGACGCGTTTCTCGACATCCTTTAGTCCTTCACTGCTGTGAGAACTGATTTGATTCTCCCAGTTACGCGATGAAGACATCTTCCCTGTCACAGAGAGATCGTAAACTTAACTTTCGATTCTCGGAATCTACGATTTCGTGGAATTGTGTTTATGTTGATTCTTTTATTTTTTCGGTCACGCTAGACGTGCCACGTGGAGCCCAACGCTTTTCTCATCCCCAGAGCCACCTGTCCCTGTTAGTCGGCGGGGCCTTGGCACTATGAAATCGGCTTAATTTTTACTACCTTGGGCCTCTGTATCTAAGCGAAACTTTCCGTATAAAAATGAATTTGATTTGCATAAAAATGAACCTGTAAGGGGGAACACATTTTCATACGAATGGTTTACACGGGGATAATAATAGTCAAAAGGCAACTCGGAAATGGGATTTTCAACGCTGGTTTCCTTCCTAAAATATCCATTGGTTCATCTCTAACTAAAACCGCTCTATTAAATCTTCAACAGACCCTCAGGAGGTATACTATAGTAAACGTATCTGGCAACAGTTTCCAGCACTTTCCAGTTCGTAGTCTTTAATTTGATGGATAAGTTCTACAAGTAGTGTTAACATGTTGATATCACACGGTTAAATGGCTCCCTTTTCACAAATTCGACAATTCCTAGATTTTCTGGAAACTTTTCCAGGACATTTCCGTCGCATTTGTCCGGCTCCGTTTCAAAATTTTTGGAAATTTTCAGAAAGCGCCCTATATTTTGCCATGATCTTCGGTATTTTTATTATTTATTTATTTTTTTATTTTTTTGAAACAACGCATCCAACAGAGTTCGACCAGGATGAATTTAGCTAGAAGCATGAGAAGACTACCGATCGACGCAAATTTAAGGAGTCCTGCGAATCCGTCCGTTCCTCTCTTCAGGCTATGTTATGACCACTTGATTTTTTCCACATTTGCTCTGTTATCGAATCCAACGCATTGAAGTTCAAAGATCGCATCTCTTTTAAGCTTGATAAGAAGTTTAATAACTTGTAATGGAAATTTGGAATGCAGTAAAAATTCGTGTGTAAGAACCTAGTGGTTTAGGAACCTGCTGACAGAAATTTTCCATTCTAGTGAACCTGTTTAGCCAAGCAAGAACAAGCAGGTTCTTATGTGTACGTGGGTTACAGTTAAATTATGATAAACATTTTAAACTACTAGGAGTGTGACTTTGTGATTGCAAATTTATATTTACAAGAAAATACCTAGTACAGTTCTGTCGTGAATAAATACTGTATATTAATTCAAGGACCAAACCGTTTGAAACCGAGGTTTATTTATTTTTCTGGTAATCAACAACTATACCTCCTTCATAGCAATTTAGAACCTAATCAAGACCCTACACAATAACCTATGATTGTTAACTGACTACCTCAAAAGAAAAGAAACTATTTTTGCCAGACTTCAAAAAATACAGGTTCTTACACGCGGGTTTTAAGGTACAACAGCTGTCTAACCTGTTACATTGGAATACTTTGCTTTTGATAATTGCTGAGTACTGTTTAGCCTGCGAAGAAGCTGCCTTCCTTGCCTCGAGAAGAGCCCGCACGAAGGCTAACTATTGTTAAGTTACAGACACTGGCATTATCTGTAAACCGTCCTAGTGCTCCAAGCTGACCTGCTGATGGGTAAGCAAATTCGAGAATTCTACTGTAGTTTTGATTAAAATCTGAATCTGGCTCACTTCTTGTTCGGACAGATCCGTTGGTCCTGGTTGAAATGCTCATATATTCTGTATGAAAAAAAACTTATGTAACACTGGTCTTACCTAATAGTTACGGAAAAAGGACTTCAAACCTCAATTTCTATTTCAATACAATTTGTGTTTTTGTGGTTTCCGATCACACTTAATGCCCATCACGCATATATTTAAAGTTAAAGTAATATTTGGTATTGCGTTATCAATGATCACTGTTTTTTTTTTTTTTTTTTGAAGTCTGTCTAATTTATTTCTATGCTGCAAAACGATTAGTACACAATGAATTTTTATCACTTTGTAGTGAACGGCAACATTTGATGCACCTCAAAGTCGTGTCTGTGTCAGTTGTAACTTGAAGAACACTGCACCCGTCCTGATTAGTGTAGCTTGTGAAGTTAGAACAGTCCCGGAGACTACGGGAAAAAATAGGCGAGCGACGCCTCCAGAACCTGTTCACAGTCTAGCACTAGAGGGGCTTTTTACAATGGTGTCATATTCTGGACCTCCATAAAACTGACGCCTCTCTAAAAATGGACGCTTTGTCGCGTCCCAGTTTCAGCTGGTGTCCGTCGTAGACAGGTGCAACTACAGAGTCTGTAGTTAACAAATACCGGCTTTAGCGGGAAGTGTAGTTGACGCTAAAAGCTAAACAGGATATAGACTGATCAGTTTCAAATCAGGTAAAAGCCAGCACAGCAAGACTGAAAGTTTTCAAAGCATGATTTATGAAAAAGGATACATTATCACGACTCGAACTGATGAATAATCCATTTGGCAAAAGAAAACTAACAGACGTAAAGGTTTACTGAAAATGATTTCCATTTTTCGCTATCATTTACTGGCAAAATTTTTCACGAAACCCCGTTTAAAATTATAGCAATCTTGGCATTTTTTTTTTACTCCTGTGGGTGTTTGCATTTTCTGTTTATTTTGTTAACGCGAGAAAGACAAGCCATGTTGGTTGTTTCTGAAGACGTCGCGATTAATCAGTTTTAATTTGTAGATGGGAAAAAGTTAGCTGTTACAGGAATTGATATTAGAAGAGGGCCGGGGTTCGACATATATAGGCGAATCTTTGCTGACGTCATTGTTTACACTTTCCCTCATTAACATACGACTTTGGGCAGAGAAGGCCTCATGCTAAATATGACTTGACTTCAACCATTCAAAGAGCTTGTGAAACATAGTAATTGGTGAAATATTTGGCTCTCTGGATGTACTATTCGAGGAGGAATAAGCTTTCAAAACCTCCAGAATTTCTGGGTGGCAAAAGGGCTAATGAGCTCTATAAGTCCTTCAATGGCCTCGCATCCAATTATTTGTCCTCGAAATTCATTCAGCGGAGTGATGTGATTACTTCTTACAATTTGCGCGATTCTGATAATAAGCTTGCTATTTCCTTGCCACGTACTAACCATTACAAAAATAACTTTGGCTATAGTGGTGCAGTCCTCTGGAACAATCTACCCTCAGCTGCTAGGCAAGCAACATCTCTGACTAATTTCCGACGATTGTTAATTAATTCCGACACGACATTCATGTAAAACAGGTTTTAATTTAGTTTACTTTTCTTTTATATTTAGCAATATTTTTAATTATAGAAGAGTAATCTGTCTACGTAGTCTTTCGTAATAAGTAGTACCTTTTATATTAAATTGTTAATGCCTGATGTATTTACCGTGTTTTTAAATAAAGACGATGATGATGATGATGATTGTAAAATTTTGAGTTTTTAAACTCGCGCCACATAACAAGTATTGAATACATCGGGCTGAACTTCCTTAGGACAGTTAATCATTCTATGCCCTTTCAATATTCAGAACTAATATTTTTGTAGCTAGATCAGAAACTGAAGCCCTTATGCTAATGAGGCAATTATTGTAAGCAAAGATTCCCCTATACGGACCGCGGGGGGCGGTCCCCTGAAGGAGGGTCTGGGGGCATACTACCCCTAAAAATTTTAAAATTGAGGTCCTCGGAAATGGGATTTCCACCCCGGCATTCTGAGGCTACGTCAGCGTGTTATAACGTCCCATTTTTTATTTATTTAGGGGGTTCGACCGAACCCCCCAACCCCCTCCCCCACCTCCCCAGATCCGTCCCAGTGTAGTCAACGTCCGAGTTAACCAACCAATTTAACAGATTTCGTTACAGCATTAGTATAACAACAAACAGCAAAGTTGCTTCACAAACGTGTATTAACTTTATGAATCATCCCACATAACAGTCCAATGTACTAACTTAAACAATTTACTGATCAACTACTAAAAAAAATAACGGGAAAGTTAATAATTGCAATTGCCCTTCATTACTTTTTAGGCCCTGTCCAAACTACGACGGAGGAGTTTCACCCTGAAAACGCATCAAATGTTTTCCGTCCATACTAGGCCGGAGAAATTTGAAAACGGAGCTTTCACTCTGAACGCACAGGTATCAATTGTTTTCCGTCCACACTACGCCGGAGGAATTTAAAAACGGAGCTTTCACTCTGAACATAAACGCATCAAA